CTTTTTTTTTTAGAGAGATTTTTGCTACAGGGCACGTGCACTCGTTGGAGAGACAGAGAGACAGAAAGGAAGGAATGACCCCCCACCCCCCCCGTGGGGATGGCCATGCCACAATCCCTTCTCCTTCATTCTCCTCGCGGGATCTTGGTGCACATGTGCATGTGCACAGGGTGAGTTTTAAGCCACTTGAGGACTGTGTGTGCTACGTGGGAGTCCAGCGGCGTCGCCACCATGCCACTGCTGGTCCCTGTGTACGCGCAGCTCTGCAGTCGGCCACAGCAGGGTCTGCTCCGCTGCTCCAAGCTCTCGTGGGAGTGTCTGTTTCTCGCCGTCTGCATTCAGCGAGCTGCTCGGTGGCTAGGTCCGAGCCTGTGCCTCTGTTGTGACCCCATCTTTTCCTTTTCCCCTTCTCCTTTTTAAAAAGAATGATTTATTTAACTTTGTTGTTGCTATTATTATTAAGAGATATTTTTGCTATAGAGCATGTGTGCTCGTTGGAGACACAGTGAGACACACAAAGTGAATCACCCTCTAGGGGGATGGCCACACTGCGATCCCTTCTCCTCCATTCTCTTGTGATTTTGGGCACACACACAAGCACACACATGCGCCTAGCATGTTTTAAGCTGCTGGGTCCAGGACTCCACTGTGGTTTACTACGCGGGAGTCCAGTGACATAACCATGACATCATCTGCTGGTTCCTATGATTGGTTTTTAATTTCCTATAGGATACATGTGCTTGAGAGAGAGAGAGAGAGAGAGAGAGAGAGAGAGAGGAAGGGAGAAAGCAAGCTGCCAGGTCTGGGGCTCAAACCACAGATGCCCACGTGGGAGTCCAGCACCTTGATCACTCCGGCCACGGCCCCTCCCCCTTCCCTCTTTAATCTGCCTCCTTCTGGAGTCTGACCGGTTGGTGGTCCCTTCTTGCCCCTCTGGACTTTCTAGTGGTGACACTTGCTGTGCCCTTGTAGTGGTGGTTCTGGGGCTGGGGCAGATTCCACAGATAATCCAGCTGGCTCCAGCTGCGGCCCTGGGCTCTTCTCTGTGCAGGTGAACGAGTGGCAGGACGACTGGCCGACCTTCTTCACCCGGCACCGGCTCCAAGCACAGCTGGACCTCATCGAGAAGGACTATGCGGACCGAGAGGCGCGGGAACTCTGGTCAAGGCTCCAGGTGGGCCTGGCAGCTGCTCCTCTGGGAACGTGGCTGCCCTCGAGAGCCCGCGTGTACATGTGGGGCCGGAGAGGAGCCGGGATCCCGGGGCAGAGCCCGTGCCGAAGCACAGATGTCTCGCCCTTAGTGAAAGTGCAGATGCCAGACACCCTGAGAGGCTTCATTACATCCCCCGAATGCTAAGAGCTGGGTCTGCCTGTCAGCCCAGGGTGTGCCAGGAAATTCCACCTGACTCCTTAACGAGGCAACAGGACACGAGGTGGCGCAGGTGCAGGCGGCTGGCCTGCCACGTCTGTGGGTCTGGTCCACGGATCGACCACAGATGGTATAGTGGTTGCATCACCGGACTCCCACGTGGCTGACTGTGGTGTGAGTCCTGGGCTCAGTGGCTTGAAACTCACGCCAGGCGTGTGTGTGTGTCTAAGATCCAGAGGAGAATGGAGAGGGTATTGTGGCGTAGCCACCCCCCATTTCTCACTTTCCCTCTCACTGTCTCTGTCTCTCTCTCCAGTGAGCACATGAATCCTAAGGCAAAAACCTCTAAGAAATATATGGGAAAAAACCCAATATTGTACAAATAATACAAATCAGAAAGTAACACGGCGAGCGACTAGTCCCACACGTGGCACTGTGGGCACAGGCAATCCAGAGAGGATGCACAGTACGTGGGGTGGGGCAGGTTCTGTGCATACAGCCATTTCATAGAAGGGACTTGGCATGAGATTTCAGCGTGTGCCCCACAAGTGCCGAGGGACGACTGTCACACCTGACATGAAGGAAAGGGGACTCAGCTTGCCACGTCGAGGCACAGAGCTGGCTCAGTCACGTGGGCAGCTCTGGGTCCTCCCTGGTGTGCAGTGCAGTGAGCGGCAAGACCAAGGCAGAGCCCCGGAGCCAGGCGACCTTCCCTGGTCGGTCTGTGGTTGGACCCGGGGCTCATGCCGGTGTCCTGCCGTATTTCCCTGTGCTGGACGAGGAGGCTGTGGCCCGAGTCCTGTGATAACTCTGTGTTCAATCTTACCAGGTGAAGCTCCCGGATCTGTTCTGTGGCCTAGAGGTTGTCCCTGCCCTGCTCCACGGGGACCTCTGGTCGGGGAACGTGGCTGAGGATGACCAGGGACCTATTATCTATGACCCGGCCTCCTTCTATGGCCACTCTGAGTTCGACCTGGCGATCGCCTTGATGTTCGGGGGCTTCCCCAGGCCCTTCTTCACTGCCTACCACCGGAAGATCCCCAAGGCCCCAGGGTTCGACAGGCGGCTGCTGCTGTACCAGCTCTTCAGCTACCTGAACCACTGGAACCACTTTGGGTGGCAGTACCGGAGCCCGAGCCTGGGCACCATGAGGAAGCTCCTCAAATAGCCCCTGGCCCTCCTGCCTGCATGCCCGGCCCGCCTGAGACCAATAAAGCCAGCAGGGGTTTCTGGGGCTGTGTGCAGTGTGGTTGCTAATGCATCTCTGCCCTCTGTGCCCGGGGCAACTTACAGGGGCCAGGCCGTGTGGCCATGTCCACAGGTGCTCCCCTGCTATGATGGGGTGTGGAGCAGGGGCTGAAGGTGGATTTTTCCCTGACCGCTGGATCGAAATTCACACCAACCTGGGGTTTGCTTAGGCCCACATTGGCACCCCTTTGTTCGGAACTCAGGCCTCCTGTTCCTGGCATCGGCAGAGCTGAGGACCATGAAATGGGCCTGGCCTCTTGAGTAGCACCCCTGGGCCAGTGGGGCTGGGTCCACCCTGACTGTGGTGGGGCCAAGGGAAGGAGGGCCCCGCTGTTGTGGGGACGGGGCATTTGGGCTGCAGCCACTGCTCATCCCCTTCGGCACCCACTTTTCAGCGGGTACATGTGCCCCTGGATAAACAGGACAAAGGATGGTGGGCAGCCTCCGGTATTGGGATGTCTCCGCTGATGGCCAGGGTGTCTGGGGTGCCTGCACAGAACTGTCGGTCCTGGGATCAGAACTGCAGTTCTTGGCCACCTGCTCCATCCCTGCCTCCCCGCCCTCCAGCTCCACCCCAGTGGCCCCAGGAGCTGCCCCGCCCGAGCTCCGCCCCGGCCCCGCCCACCTTCGGACCCCGC